GGAATATTGAAGTACCAAACGGTATAGTACTGGATAACAACTGCACAGTGAACTGCACAGTGAACTGCACAGTGAACTGCACAGTGAACTGCACAGTAAATGAACACTGAAGAGGTGGGATCATCATAGCCATAGGAACTTGAATTCCGTCTCAAGATGAGGGATTGGGGGTAAAATAGGTAAAACAGCCGGAGTGACAGGTAAGAACTCCCGCCACCCCCCCCCCCCCCCCCAGCACCCCCCCCCCATACACACACACGTATGTGCACATACACACACGCACAACAATTGACACCATCTCATTCTTTAATTTTAAGGTCTTATCACCCGTTCGTTCAGTTTTCTCCGCTATTCTTCACTCTGTGGCTGCTAGCATTAAATTTCGGCAGCCCTCGGTGCCTGGTTGATAATGATGTAGTTATTCAACTAAACACAAACACATAATATACCCGGCAGTACACTTTTCTCATGATAGACACCTGTCAGGGCCGGATCCAAGGCTGTACCCGGAGGGGTGCCGAAAATACGATGGCAAAATTTCTTTTAACAGATTGATAATAGTTACACCGTGACATGCCATTGTGGCAAAACTTGAGGGGTGTGTGACCATCAATTGCACCCCCTGGATCCGGCCCTGCCCGTTGACCGGCTCACATCGTCGGCATATCCATAATGCCCTGCGAGTCCGACGCCCGCTCCGTGCCGGTCCTGTGCCGAACGATACTGAACAGGCGACGGCCCACCCTCGTCTCGCCAGTGGCAAAATTATAGAAGAAACGCTTTCTCTGCACGGTGTACGAGAATAGGATGGTTGCTATGACGCCGATGAGAAACAGCAGCACCAGTACCCCGATGGCGATCAGGAGCGGGATGTAACCGTCGACGACGATCTCATCCGCCTCCTGTACTCGCACCCCACCGTCGTCGTCGTCGCCACTGCTGCTGTCTAATTGGCTGGTCGTGGACAAGCCCGTCGTTGTCGTGATCATGATCCGAGCGGTGCTGCTGACCAAATTCTCTGCAATAACACACGCAGGATGTCAAGTCAGAACACACACAATGGAGAAGTGTTACAGACAACGTGTGTACATAACCTCGAAGAGTGTGCAATTCCAGCCATGTGGTCTGCGACGGCAGAACTTCACATCTCGTGACAAACCCCCGTACAGAGAATCCTGCTTTGGTTCAACTCTCTTGTGGTCACTTTGCATTGTTTTCCACTATGACCAAGTCACGTGATGTGAAGTTCTGCCCTCACAGCACTGGATAGAGGTCGAGAAAAAGGAACTAAGTCTAACGATGTTGCTACATCGGCGGCAATTAACTGCATGACTGACTTGAGAGTCGGTCTATTTCTTCAAGAAAATGAAGATACGAGTAATGCATGTACATGGACGTGTTAGTGCACTGGGATCAGGACTGCGCTAGTGAACACCACACACAACCGTGGTCCGCAGTGTCTGCTCGAGCGCCGGGTGAGCCGGGTAATCGACCCGGTTGGGCGGCGCTTGGTCCCGGTTGAAAATATTATAGTACCGGGTCACCTGTGACCCAGTTGGTACTTTACACTTTCGAACTTTGAAAGGACTGACTACATGGCTTGTATGTGTCAGATACTTCTTCTTTCGTAATTTTCGAATTCCTGTCCTCTCTTTTCTAAATGCGGCTTATCCATTCGCCATTATCCTTGGGCCTAGTTCCCGTTTATCGTCCGAATTAAAATAAACCAACCAACCAGTTAAAGCATGTGACACGGATGGTGAGACAGCGCCAGGTGCATGTGTCCCGGCTCCGACCCGGTTGAAATGGTTGCGCCAGGTACACGTGTACCCGGCTGTCCTACAATCCTATAGAGCAGACACTGGGTCCGGTGTATGTACGGGATGTTGCTGGTACAGCTGTGCTCGGTGAAATCCGACCCAGAGAGTATGTTTGGCGCCTTTAACTTGCACGGCCCTTGACGCCCTGGCAGTGGTACGAATGCTACTGGACGTACACATGTACAAATACAATGATGTAATCAGAACTGGTCCAGGGCGTCAGTTTTGCACTTCGGGTCGAATTTCACTGAGCACACCTGTACTGGTACAAACGTCGCCATTGTACAATGTGCGTATTGCCTCACCTTCACATATGAGCGACGTCACTTCCGCAACCGGCGAGGCCGCTGTATTGGTCTCCGTGGCAACAATGCCCGTAACCATGGCGAATCCCGGTAAACACGCCTCGCATCGATCACCCGTGGTGCTGTTTGTACAGTTATCGCAAACTGACACACGCCGTGCGTTGTCATAGTAACACGTCTCCGAGTAGCCATTGCAGTCACAAGCTGCAAACAGTACAAACAGGACATGATGTAATGAGTACTGAGGACCAGAGTGTAAGGCCACAAGGGGGAGAGTCTGTCGTGATACAAAGGGATGTACAAACACAAGTACAGTCAACTTCGCTTATAACGACACTCCGCGGGGCATCAAAAAGGTGTCCATATTCGCGAAGTGTCGTTATACCCGAAGTCTCATTTTATGTATTACAGTGGGATGGAACTTTGCTCTGGGCATGGAAATTCTGTCGTTATTCGCGATGTTTCGTTATATCCGCAGTCGTTATTGGCGAAGTTGACTGTGAATCACAGACCAACAGACAAACACGCAGACAAACACACAGACAAACACACATGCAGACAAACACACAGACAAAGATAAAGGATAAAGGAAGCGAAGATACGTCTTTCGAGCATTTCCCTTTCCTCACCTTCGCATACGAACCCAGCAGCCGGTGAAACTGTGGTGGTATTGGCATCCACTGCGGAAATGCCCGTAACCATGGCAAATCCCGGTAAACACGCCTCGCATCGATCACCAGTGGTGCTGTTTGTACAGTTATCGCAAACTGACACACGCCGTGCGTTGTGATAGTAACACGTATCCGAGTAGCCATTGCAGTCACACGCTGCGAACACAGTGTAAGGCATTATAAACAGAGAGAATGATATGGACCTGGTCACAGTGTAGTGGGAATACAGCACTCGTGGCAATGCAGCCAGCCGGTTTGCCTGGTTTTGGATTTGGTGATATCAGTATAATGATATCTCAAGCCGGCGTTCGGCAGTCATAGCCGAGCATGGCTGGACAGGGACAGCAGTCCGCGCACTGGGCCAGTGTACGCACTAACTGTCCAGTGCTACCAGTGTACAATGTCATTGTACACTGGTAGCACTGGACAGTTAGTATTGCACTGTCGTGGACATGGAAATCCGGTCGCACGTCTAGCAGCCCCAAGGCGCTGGCCATGCAGCCGTAGGCAAGCAGTACACACATGCATGCAGCGCGCTGGTCGCGTCGGATCAACATGATTGTGCACATGCACTGCGTGCACCGAGTTACATGTACGTAACGATCTGTACGTGCCGAGGGCGCCGGCCCCGGTCAATCCACTGGATTTCCATGTCCACGACAGTGGAACACAGCTGTACTGAACATACTGTGTAGCAGGAATTTTTCGAACGGAATTTATTTTCAGTCGATTTCGTACACGGCCTCTTTTGCACTAAATTAACCCTTTAATTCCGCACTAAGATTCGTTCATGTGAAATTATGTACACTATACATGTGTACTGCACGCGAACACGTGTATTTAGCGTGCAGCACTGTACGCAAATAAAATCCATACGAAAGGTCGAAATTCGGCTTTGTCCGAAAATACTGCCGTCCGAAAATTTCCTGCTATGCAGTAGCTGTGCTGGACATGCATCACGCCAGTGGACGGTGCAGGGATTCGAACCCGGTACACCGCAGCACTAACAGTACCGATACTTACAATCTAGCACCTTACACACTTGCATGCACATAGTGCAGTAGGTATCGTTATATCGTTAGTGATAGCAAGAGTACATAACCCTCCGGAGTGTGCAACGCCTGATCCAGCTCTGCATAGGGTCTTGGTCGAGCGTAATCGGATCTTTGCGTCATAATACCGTACAGATCTGAGGGGAACCCGGGGAGTCGCGGGTACACTCTCGGATCAAAAACAACGGTGCCCTGCCTCGAGACCGGCCTTGCACTGGTGTGGAGTGTACACATGACATCAGAAGATCCGATTACACTCGACCAAGACCCTAATGCAAAGCTGGATCAGGTGTTGCACACTCTGGGGGGTTATGCACTCTTGGTGATAGCTAACGATAATAGATACCTTCCTTAGCGATCAGCAAACGGCTAATCGATCATATCGTTTCGGCCCTATCGTGTATAATCAGAATAGTCTGGTCATCACACCAGAGAATGGCCGTCATAGGTACTACCAAGAGTACATAACCCCCAAGAGTGTGTAACTCGACTATGGGCGCTGTCCCGACAGAATTTCCAGTTGACGTCATTTTGATGATGCAATACCCACTGTATACGGATCATCAGACGAATCCGGAACCTGTAGTGGACCAAAGTCTATCTGATCCTGTACAAATGATTGCAATGAAAGACGTGTGATGCGTTGGCACCCGAGCACGTGTTGTAAATCACTGCTGCAAGGAGCATTGCATCATAAATAATGACGTCAACTTGAAATTCTGTCGGGACAGCAGGGTATGTGGGAGTTGCACACTCTGGGGGGTTATGTACTCTTGGTACTACATAACCCAAATAGGCAAAAAGGTGACTATGAGGTTGCCGGTGGCCGGGTATATTGTCACCACACCACCGATGTGCGAGCTATGCGCCGAAGTCCACAGTTCATGAATGCATCACCGCATGCAAGGTACAAAGCGCTCACTGCGTAGGATCACGATTTCAATTTGAATAGAAGCATAACTTGAATAGAAGCATGGTTTGAACCCCTGGCTTACACGGCCATAAGCATCTGCTTTTAGACGCCATATTACAGTATTTCGAGCTCATTGATACAAGAGGCGTATAACATATCTTTCCCCTACACCTCACCTTCACATATGAACCCAGCATCCGGTGAGGCAGTGCTGGTGTTGGTTCCCATGGTATCATTGCGTGTAACCATGGCAAAGCCCGGTAAACATGCCTCACATCGATTACCCGTGGTGCTGTTTGTACAATTATCGCAAATGGACACACGAAACATGTTGTCGTAGTAGCATGTCTCCGCATAGCCATTGCAGTTACAAGCTGCAAACAGTACACACAAGATAAAGCATTGTGAGCAGAGACAGGGGCGTCGGACAAGCTGCAATCACTACGGTATTGACTGTACCACATTTTGCCCCAGGTACCCCGTGGATCAATAAAACACACTGGTCTGCGCTCTAAATTTCCAAGATTTTCGGCTCAACCACCTCTCCTCCACGAGTTCTAAAATTGTACTTCAGATGGCTGACTGTACTACACTAACATACCTTCTGACGCCCCTGAGAGAGGATAGTATGTAAAACCCCAGAGTGTGCTGTGTGAAACCCAGAGTGTGCCACTTTTTGACTTTTTCTGCACGGGTGTCTGAACAACAACGGCCTTTCGTGTCACCTTACCTTCACAGAGGAACCTGACAAGCGGCAAGACGGTGGTATTGGTCTGCAAGACAACGCCCCTCATCACCATGGCAAAGCCCGGTAAACATGCCTCGCAGCGATCACCCGCGGTGTTGCCCGTGCAGTTGTCGCAAACTGACACGCGCCGTGCGTTGTCATAGTAACATGATAACGAGTAGCCATTGCAACTACACGCTGCACAACAGTACACACAAGAAGGTAAGACATGGTGATTGTCAGAGAAGACGTCAGAAGTCAACAACAACAACAACAACAAAATTCACGGTTCGCGTGACACTCGGCTAGAGGCCGAGTTTTCCACATCCGCAAAAGAAGGATCCACGAGCGGGATTCAAAACCAGCACCCCTGTTTTTCCGGGACAGTGCCCTGCTGATTAGGCTACCGGGGATCTCACGCACCTGTGGGTCCTTCTTGCTACATATGGTGGGCAGGCCCATGTGCTGTACACATTAGGATGTCCTTGATTCGCCAACTAAGTTCTCAGAGCGAGAATGGTTTGGAGTTTGTCACACTGCACCAGAACTGACATGGCAGGGTCTACATACCCGAGCAGGCATTGCACTTGATAGCTGTACGCAATGTGTACAGTGCTGTTCAATGAGATCCGATCGCATGAGTCCGTGTGTGTGTGTGTGTGCGTGTGTGTGTGTGTGTGTGTGTGTGTGTGTGTGTGTGTGTGTGTGTGTGACTGCTCGTGGGATTCACCGTCACAAGTGCTCAGCTGTACGGTCCTTACCTGTTGCCCAGCAGCCTGGGGCCCGTCACTGTGGAGTTTGTGACCGCTGGTTTCAAAGCGCTGGCGGTTTTGCAGTTCATCGTTCAGACGTTGTGTGGAGCGTCAGACATCGGACGAAATACCAGCTGTTTCAACGAGATGCAGCCTGAATTTGGACTGCTGCCAGCACCATTGCTCGACCTGTGATCGCTGCATGAAGAGTCAGGCTGGTTTTAACCGCCATAATTGTACTCGAGGCAAACGACTGCGAAAGGACCAGAGGACTAATCTGCCCATTCAATGCAGCCTATGTAGCAAACGATTCTCCCGCCCGCAGGACCTCACCCGCCTCCGAAAACAGAAACACTAGCTGTGTGTAGAACGGTCCCCTTTCACCTCAATTACTGTATAAACAGAAAATTTCGTCGGTCCATAATTTCGTCCAACTCCAAAGAAAGGGAGTTCGTCCGGTTGTAAATTTCGTCCATGGATCATAAGAGTGTATTTAAAAGCTGGACAAATCGATATTAGTCAGGCATTTAATTTAGTCCAACAGCTCGTTGGACGAAAAAGACGAAATTAAATTCCAGACGAATATTTCTGCTTGTACAGTACTCTCCTTGTTTCTTTTCCTTTCTCGCTGTTGCCTCCCGCTTCTGGGAGCGACGTGGCCATTTTGTGGCAGTTGTACATAGTAGTAGTAGTAGTGTGTGTGTGTGTGTGCGTATGTGCGTGTGTGCGTGTTTGCGTGTGTGTGGGGGGGGGGGGCGCCTCCAGTGGTTGGGCCATGTAGCTAGGATGCCTGACAACCGTCTTCCTAAGCAGTTGCTGCTTGGATGGCTTGACGCTCCCCGACCAGCTCAGGGACCTCGTCTTCGGTGGAAGAACAGAATACAGTCAGACATGAAACTGTGCCAAATTGATGAATGGTTTACTCTGGCCCAGGATCATCAGCAATGGAGAGATGTGTACCGCACTCGTGTGCAGCGTCCTGCCCCGGTACCGCTCTCTTGCCTGGTATGTAAACGGACATTCAAGAGCAAATCTGGACTTGGACGACACACATGTTCTGCTGATCGCCAGCTGCCTGTAGCGGAACAGCCGGACGCAGAGTCAATGCCAAGCCTGCCTTCGCTGGTTCCGAAGTGCCGGTGGACTTGCTGTGCACAAGTGTACAACACCCGCCCCGGCATCACCGCCCACACCCCAGCGCATACCAATCACCAGCCATCCATGTTGCAACCAGCACTGCGCTACCAGTGATCGCTGTTTAAAATCTGCTCCTGGCTTTCGGCGACACAATTGCAATCGTGGACGGCGTCGTGGCGGAGCGGGTTCCTAGTGGCAGTGCTGACTTCTCTCGAACTCTCTCTTCTACTCTCCCCTGTCTCGGGGGCGGCGTGGCCAAGCATTTGGCAGCTGTACACCAGGCCAGGTGTGTGTGCGTGTGTGTGTGTGCGTGCGTGCGTGTGTGCATGTGGGTGGATGCATGTGGGTGGGTGCATGTGCGCGTGTTTGCTTGTCACCAAATTGTAATTGCACAATGCAGATCAATGTGCCCTACCTTCACAGGTGGCATTTCCAGCATTGATGGTGGTGGATACTCCTTGATACGCAGGAAGACAGTGGTCACATGTGTCTCCTGATGACGTGTCCCACATTGACACCCGGCCAAGCACTGCGCAAGACAGCGGCATCAGACAGCAGCAGGTCCACACGCAGGTACAGCAGCCACAAAGCCAGCAGGAGCGAAAGCGATAACAGGCGACAAGAACAACAGTGTCAGATGAAATATCAAGCTAACCTCGTCGTCACCACCGCCGCCGCCAACACCAACAGCAGCAACAACAACAAGAGTACAGGTGGAATCCCGATAATTCGAACACCAAAATGCCAAGGAAAACGTCTAAATATCCGGACATTCTAATTATCCAAACATGTACCCACAACACATTATGTACTGTAGTGTCCTGCATAAAAGCCTGTCTTGTATAGAAGCCTGTTTTGAATAGAATCCTGATTTTTAAGATACACGGTCAGCACACAAGCCTGGTTTAGTGTTGACATACACAGAGATACGTGGTTTGAATAGAAGCCTGACTTGAATAGAAGCATAGCACTGATATCGGCCTATACGGCCGTAAGCACCTGCTTTTATACGCGACATGATAACGGTATGTCAAAATGCCCGCATTGACACGCAGAGTTGCACTGCACGCCTTAGACACAGATTTAGTGGACGCTGAACTGCCTACGGCCCTACGCATCCAAACCAAACTGATTTGCAGAAATTCAGTGAACTTCTAAATGTGCTTTGCTACAGTCCATTTCAAAACTATAGACGCGTAGGATTTTTGAAATATTTCAAATTTGGCTGGAACTTTTTGAGAATAGTTTTCGGAATATTGCTCAGATCCGCTCCACAATTACTCTCATATAGTTTCTAAACGATTGGATAACAGACGCCCTATTTGGGAAAAATTATGCACAAAGTGATCACAGATTTTATGTGGTATAGATGCTGGCATAACGGTTTTTGCCTAGGTACATGCGTCTATAGTTTTGAAATGGACTGTAGCTTCGAATTATCAACATAAATCCCATATGTTTTCTATGTAGTAGTAAGTGGATTCTGCGGGACTTCTAATAAGAATTGAGTAATAGATGTGTTGAAGCTAGGTGTCAGGACGTCGAATGTCTCAGCACTCTGTCAGTTGTGTGCCTAGTTGTTGCACTTTCTGACTGTATATAGTATCTGGTTACAGTGATGGAGAGTTACTCTTAACTCGTATCCATATGTCCTTGTCCTTTCTACAATTGAGTAATAGCCAACCCTTTTTTCGAGATATCATAATGGTCCAACTCCATAATGGCATACAATCACTGGCCACACTCTGGAACTGGTTTCGCCATCTATGTCCTCATCAGGTCTGATCTACTCACCTTCCACCGTTTACGCGCTGCATCTGCGCCTGGATCCTAGAGGGTGGTGGCGTTCCCACGGATGCGGAAAACGGTGAATTTGTTTGTCCTCATCTCTCTTCGCTTCGCTTCCGTTGCCTGCGCCCTCATCTCTCTCTTTGTTTGCTTATTTGCTGAGAGAACAGACGCGGGTTTGTATTCATGGACCCCTGTGTTGCATGGGCCACGCGTACTCATCCGGCGGCGGGTATGTGTGAATTAAACTGAATTTGTTTGTTTGTTTGTATTTATTCAAATTCGCAACTTGAAACGGGCAAGAACCCAATAGCATGAGAGAAAATCTGATGACGGCAATGGCCATAGGGGGAATAAGGATAAAAATAATAATGTCTAACGAGGATGAGAATAATGGCCGGACTGGCTGGACATGTCACTACGGGACTGACTTTGGAGGAAAGCCCAACGTACCTGTTGTGCTGAGCTGGTGGTGTTGGTGAGGCCGGGCAGTGCTGCACACTTAGTCCCACTACCGTAACACTGGCACACACCTTCAACACGCCACGAGTAAAGGCCGTAGAAGATCAGCTTGGGATCGAGAATGTCTGCGTTGCCACCTGAATGCACGTGAACACACGGAGACAAAAGCAACACCGATGCGGGCATTGTGAAGGAAATGAAAGAGCACACAGCGCACGGTAACATTGCGAGCGGGGTTGCTACATCTTGGGGTGGGTGAGGCGGGATACTGTATTTTCGGGAGTACAAGCCGCACCAGTAACGGGACGTATTCATCCATTTCCCGCCATTAGGGTTTGCGGGGCAAGTCCACTACAACCATACTCACTGTGATACCAACTCTGCATAAAAAAAGTTCGTGAACTTTGTAAGGTCATACTCACAAAATGTACTAGAACGGGTTGAACCTGCCAGAAATGCGGCAACTTGCCCCGCAAAAGGTGATGGCCATCTTCGATGCATACCTCCCTCCCGTTCACCCAGAAACGTCGGTGCTGCTTATACTACGATGATCAGACAAACCGTGCACGCGTGGTGAGCGCGGTAAACGTCTGTATTTCGTGACAAAATAATCTGGCTGCGGCTTATACTCCAGTGTGGTTTGAACTCCGGAAAATACGGTACACACACTCACCTCTGGCGTATGGCCGGACCATTTCTGCTCTCAACGTGTCAACGGTGGCATTGAGGCGCAGGTCTGGTTCATTTAGAAGACGATCCATGCCGACGCGGTCACCTGGAGAGTATGTGATCTGTACACAACAACAACAACAACAACAACAACAACAACAACAACAACAACAACAACAACAACAACAACAACAACAACAACAACAACAACAACAACAACAACAACAGCAACAACCGACAAAAATTAAACCATTCCTTCATAGCAGACTCAGTGGAGAACGTTCGAGTTGGTTGTAATTCTAATTTTCATACCGCTATGAGAGAAGAATACACGACGGAGTGTATGGACGGTCTAAGTCAGACAGAGCATTCATTGCAAGGTGTAGGGATGGAGGCAAGCTTAAATTGCTGGGCAGCCGTGATCTCCCTTACACTCCTTGGGAGTGCGGTCCAGGCCAAGGCTGCCTGAAAGGCCAGGCGAGCTTTGCCGACTTCTGATTGTGCCAAGGGGACAGTGAGGCCCCTGGAAACCTGGTACCGGTTGGTGCTCCCAGCTGATGGTGAGAATAGATCCTGGAGGACACTGCTGACTTTCCCATTGACACAGCGCCACACCATGATGTGTCGCTTCTGGGCGTAATACTCGCGAACTCTGTACAGGGAAATGCGTTCGAGCCGAGGCTGAGCAGAGGTGTGACGGCAAACCATATACCGCTCTCGCTGCTTGGTTCTGCATGACTGGAAGTCGATCAAGCTGCGAAGCCTTGACAGAGGAGGAGAAAGCGTTAGATCCATGTAGGAGGTCAGGCATGATGGCTGACCTCACATACTGAATGCGACTACCGAGGCAGAGGCATCTGCGGGACCGCCATAGTGCTCCAATCTTCTGCATAACTTTCTTTGCAATCGCGTCGACATGAAACTCAGAGTTACAACCAACCCGAACGTCCTCCGCTGAGTCTGCTATGTACTAAGCTCTGTCTATGACACTGAGCACTCTCTGCAGCTCGGGGATCAACGTACATGTATTTGATACCATAATTATCATCCGGAGTTTAAGATAAGCAACACTGGAGTACAAGCCACACCCATATTTATTTGCCACGAAACACAGATATTTACCATGTATTTCACGGATAATTTGACCCTCGTAGTGTATAAGCCGCACCGGCTTTTTTCGGGTGCTGTTCGAGTGGTTAAAGACAGCGTGGCTTATACTCCGGAAAACGCGGTCGCCTTTTGCGGAGTTTACACTACGGGTACTAACTGTGGCGATTTTTGCAGAGGACAGCAGTTACTGCATGCAGGTGGGTCATGTTCTGCAACAACAGGATTGATCACTGAAGATACAGTGTGAGCCTGGGAAGAGAGTAAACGGGGTCGTGTTCTTGCCGGGCGCTATTTTTTCAATTTTATTTTGTATACGAATGTCCACTATATTCCCGAATATGTGCCAGAAGTGGTGGCGGGGCCCAGGCTGCTCTGCCGACCTTAATGGTCTCGGCGTCTACGCAGACAAAGCACGCCATAGCTATCCAACAGGGTAAATTAGGCACAGGCTAGTTAGTATTTGTAAGAAGAGGGGAGAGAAGTAGGAGGATACCACAACGACAGGAAGAGTAGGGGCTCCAACAAGGAGGAATCTGTGCTGGTGACGTATGCGTACTCACATTTCCCCCGTCCTGAGGATCGGCCCCGGTATACACACACCGTGCGTCCAGGTCACCACACAGATCATCAGGCCGACTGAACGGTAGCCCGTAGCCCGACATTCTGCCCCTGCAGAAGTCAGAGTAGTACTGAAGCACTCGCCACGTCTTGCCGCCGTCCGACGAGCCCAGCAGTCGCATCTGAGCAGCTAGGTGACTGCGGAATCGCAGCGTTGAGCGACTCAGCAGGATGCTGGCAGGCAGGCTCAGAGTCACATTGACTTCCAGCACGCCTGGCGCGGATTGCCACCACGTGGTAGCGTTTCCATCCAGTATGTACTGTTTAGGATGCGACAACTGCGCGTCACTGGACGAGCACGTCAACAAATCTAGGTGATCTGTTCCGCTCTGGATGCTGCCCGTTAGGTCTCCAAAGTAGGACTGACTGGGGTCTTGGTCGGGACTTTCACCGCACGTCGATGTGGCACTCACACTCACTTGCCCAGTGCAAGCCGTGACGAAATCGTCCGTCAGTGTCAAATCGCCGAAACCGCCCGTCAGTGTCCCAGGGCAGCTGCTAGCTGCCTGCGCCATTGCCGCTTTCTGAAAGACTACTTGTCCAATTAGGCAGCCGACGAACAACCACACGGCCAACATCCGCGGCAAATAGTTCACTTGGTGGCTCACTAATCCTTGCCGCATCATGCTTGAACGCCCCGAGTAACGCCTATCTAGGCTATTAGCTACGGCCAATGCGGGTGTTCGTGGCTGCAGCTGTCTGCTCTTTCGGCTTCCCCTTTGCTGGCTAGCAGGTGATTAGTTTTGCCGACTGCACCTTCAACATTGGCTCTTCCCGAGACCAGCACAAGGGCAAGCCGCGCGCGACAGTGTGAGGTGGCCAGTAGCTCCGGCTGCACCGCCTCGGATCCGTCCGAGTCCAGGCCAGGGTGCTAACGTTACCTGGGGCCGGAATCCGCGACGAAATAACCACTATACGCTAGCGCGTTATTCACGTCCTTCCAAACCGACTTCGCCCTGGCTAGATGCACTTGCGCACAGCTTCCCGGCAAAGTCAAGGACGGTAGGTAGGGAAATGACGGACGAGATGATGACTGTTGCGTAGCTCAAAGGGTTCGTCTACGAGTGTGTACAAGAGCCATAGATGCATCACTCCTACGACAAGTGAAGGGCAATGGAGGTATGGATAACCAACGTTACTTTCTCAGGATCTTGGACGCTACTTACGGCCGAGAAAAAGAAAGAGTCCCAGTTCAAAGCTCGACCAAAAACACGCGAAACAGCTTGGTGTGTGCAGCAGGATACCTCCGGTTTCACTAACTTACTAAGTCTTTCATGACTCACGCCCGTCATGCATGGTCATGAGCTGATCCGGTCGATCGCCGCGCGCGACCGAGCGAGCTGAGCTCGCGGTCGAGACAAGGCGGGTCATGCCAAACTCCCATGTGCGCGGAGTCTAGATACGAATCGCGCGCTGTTGGGATATCAGCAAGCAGCCAGGCGCTAGGCTTCGTGTTGTGATGCTCGTTTATAATACACGCAACAACTCGTACTGGAAATATCCTTTTTTTAAATGCGATTAGTTGACTCGCATCAAGTCTTTGTACTGCCACACCGCGTGAAACTCTACACCGCAGAGTATGATTGCATGGCCAGTGGCATCTCTGACACGCGCCCTGCCCTGCTAGCTGCATGCAATCATGCATTCATGGTGATATCATGATACTGTCTCTATGCCTAAAACTAAAAGTAAACAAAAGGTGCCAACAAAATGACTTTGTTTGTGTGCTCGGAACGTCAACAAGCTCTACATATTATAATATCACAAGAATGTCCCCACTCCACCACAAGAAGCGTAAGTTTCCCGTGAGTCTACCCCTGGGATGCTGGATACGGTAACGTGATCATAGTGTACGTGTGTGGTCTGAGTGAACGTTGTCGTTCCTCCTGTATCAGCCGTGACTGTGCAGGTACATGTAGGTCTGCGTAGTTATCGGTGAATCTGTGCGAACGATGTGCTGCAGGGTAGACCATGCCGGTAGCGAGCAAACAGCCAACAAAATGGCCAATAGGTGTTATGTGGTAGTAGCGATACAGTAGATGACGCTGATTAGACGGAGCCGTACAACGAAGCCAGAAAGCACTTGGGTGCAAGGCTGTGTACCGCCGGTATGTGTGTGGATATGCTAGTGTCAGTTTCATGTATCATGAAGCTCTCGACGCTATCTCTGAAGAGTGAAGGCAGAAGCAATCTGTGCACAATCGGCGAAGGCGCGTTGGTCCTCCGGCGAAAAGACAACACCTTCTGTTGCCCTTTTGGCTCATGGCGTACAGTTATGCACACGTCATGTATCGGTTAAACAGCCCATTCATGGTCTTGTAGTGCTGTCACTTCTTGAAGTACATGTAACTCTGAGCTGAAGCCCAAACAAAAAGGGACCAAAGTCAAAATATGAACAGGGGATAGTATACGTATCCCCTCTAGCTCTCCCCTGACTCACTTGTGAGGTCTGCATTCGACACTGATATGAGGATTTATCACTCCCTTAGTATTGACTCACATAGATTTTTGCCATACCTAAGCAGTCAAATATTCCTGCATATTTCACTCCTTAGGGCTATATTGACCGCTTATATTTGACTCCTTTTTAGCGGAACACATGCTTTGGTTAGTCGTGATAAATCTAATATTGACTTCGTACTTGGTCAGCATAGGAAATAAAAGACCTCGTAAAAAACCTCGGCTTTTATTTCCTATATTGACCTCGTACTCAGTCATATTAGATACATAATACTTCTGAAGTAATTTAACATGGGCGAAGTGGTGGCCCGCCGATGCGGATGTATTTGCTTGATGTGTTCCTCAACACGTCACGTGATGCGGCCACGAACCCGGCTAACTTTACTATGCTTTTTACAGTCAACTACGTACAGTGTAATAACGACTGCGGATAAAACGACCATTCGCGAACAACCACAGAACTCCCATACGCAGAGCAAAGTCCATTCGAACTGTATTCAATCCAATGAGACTTCGGGAGTAGGGACACTTTGTTGATGCCCCGCCGAGTGTCGTTATACGCAAAGTTGACTGTCATACAATGTACTCCGGCAGTAGGCGGTGCAGTAGGCTGTGCAGTGGGCCGCTGCATCATGTTGTAAGCACATGTAGGCATTGGCGGATAATGCTCGAAAAGCAGTGAAATTGGCAGAACCATACAAACCTTATGGCGGGCAATTCCTCGAATTCTGCCCTATTTCTTTATCCACATACCAAACATGCATGAAACTACTTACCAGAAAAAGTACCGAATTCTGCCAATTTTCCTGCCGGCATTATCCGCATATGCCTATACACATGTCCATGCATGGTGTAGATGACAAGCTAGTGAAATGACGAGATGGCCATGTGGGCAGTAAATCCAGCACATGTACTACAGTACATGATCTCCCGTACTTGGGCCTCTGCTAATGCAGCTGAGAGGTATCGCTCACTGCATGCATGGGCATACATGTACTGTAGGTATCGCTCACTGCATAGGTATGTATCGCTCACTGCATGCATGGGTATAGGGCTTGAAAGTGATGACGTCAAAAGTGGCCAAGGAGTAGTAAGTTGACATCAGATTTCTATTTTGGATCCACTAAGGTGTGACTTTGCTATTGCCTCAGTATGTGGGTGCATAGCAACCCACTCATGTTGTATGCAGGGGTGACTTTTGCTTCGCCACCAGTTGTAACTCCGCCCCCAGTAGCCAAATCAGTCAGTTTCATTGGCTACATCACCTTGCTGTGAGTAAGACGGCTTGAAATGTGCTTGGATCCATACAAAAACTGGATTCAAGTGGATCCAGTTTTTGAATTTTTGAAATTGTTGCTATGCTGTGACGTAGCACTTTCAAGCCCTATAGGTATCGCTCACTGCATGCCAGGGTAGATCGAAGACTCAAACTATGCCGTCTGCATCCACGCACGCACATGATCCAGGAGCGCAAAACCGGGGAGAAGGCAATCTTGGAGTTGGACCTGCTAAAGAACATAATAATAGAATGTTGATCTCCCTTGTTGGCTGCCAACAGGCAACAGGGTGGTCACACGCGTGTTGTAGAGGGCTGTTGCTACCCTGCGCAATTCCCCCGCTCGTAGACATTGCCGACGGAAAAAACGTTGCATACTTAACCATCTTCACCCTCTGTCTCTGTCTGGCTGTCTGGCTGACAGACAGCCAGATAGGCAGACGAATATCTGCCTGTCTGTCACTCACTCTCTCTGTCTGTTTTATGTCTCTGTATATCTGTCTGTCTCTCTCTCTCTCTCTCTCTCTCTCTCTCTCTCTCTCTCTCTCTCTCTCTCTCTCTCTCTCTCTCTCTCTCTCTCTCTCTCTCTCTCTCTCTCTCTCTCTCTCTCTCTCTCTCTCTCTCTCTCTCTCTCTCTCTCTCTCTCTCTCTCTCTCTCTCTCTCTCTCTGTCTCTCTCTCTCTCTGTCTCTCTCTCTCTGTCTCTCTCTGTCTCTCTCTCTCTCTCTCTCTCTCTCTCTCTCTCTCTCTCTCTCTCTCTCTCTCTCTCTCTCTCTCTCTCTCTCTATCTATCTATCTATCTATCTATCTATCTATCTCTCTCTCATGCTCATCGGTACAATACTTTCTGGGATGCTTATATCAGATACGCTCAGTCTCTGATTTAGCCACCCACACTCCCTGTTGGCAGGGACAACTGCAGTTGGAACCCGGGACGGATACCCTGATGCCATCACTATTAGGGGTGAAACGAAGGTGTCAAAGGTTCGAAGAACCTTCGTTTTCATTTGAAACAAACCTTCGTTTTCAATTCAAAAGAAGGTTAACACACGATTTCTGCACACACATGCACTGATCTTCCTTGTATACAGGAGGTACTGTACTGTAGTTTGTACAGTGCACTAGTTTTGTGTCCACTTGGCTCCCGTAGGTGCCATTGCAAGTGCATAATGGGGCTGTTAAGTGATGACGTCACAGTTCCTTCGATACGCATAACAACGATCCCACTGGGGACAAACAAAAGTAGCGTCGTCTCCACCGACCCAGTTGTCAGTGGCAACATACATGTATAGGAATCGTGTACATTTCTTCGTTTCTTCTTTGCTGTTTTCAGTGAGTGTTTTGTTTTCTCTTTGTCCTTGATCTCGACGATGTTGTCGTGCTCATTACCTTACTGAGACGTCTCTTGTGACTGTAGCCAGTGTCATGGAGGATTTTATTGGCGTGACAAGGTAGATCGCCGAGATCGAGCGTGAAAAACGCTCTGCATTAGTAGCTCCTGTAGAATGTTTTCTGGGTTGGCCTATCCATGGTCAACAAAACCAAGGTGCAAGACAGCATGAGAGATCGTGTTAACGATGTGAACTCCAAAAGGTAAGCTCCTGAACAAGTGGAAAGATATGGGTATTTACAAACTCTCTCTTCATCCATCGATTGGCGCTATGCATTGCATTTTGTCTTCACAGATAATCTGGCCAAATTTATTGTAACTAGAGAGTGCAATCGTGCACTGCTTGGGGCCCATCCCAATGTCATCACATGGCTGTGGTGACTAGTGTATATCTGGGAGAATTTTTCCTCGACTGATACGGAGTGCGGATGGATCGATTATGAGAAATGCGAACATGTGAAGTAAGTAATTAGTTGTGTCGAAGAAATGTGCAATAAAATAAAATTTACTTTACACTCAAACATACACTGTAGATGTACATGTACATGTAACATCATGATAATGATTCCATCTTCATTGTCCCGCAACTGGTATACCATACGCACCGAATACATGGTGTGTGTGTGCGCGCGTGCAAGCGCGCGCATGTACATGCACACACTCTCATGCGTGGCCGAGTCGGCCAGATGAACAGACCATGCATTTACACGAGGTGTCCGTAATGTCATTGGAACGCTGTACTTTATGACTTTATTCCAAAAGAGTATGTCTTGCCCCTGACGAATGGAGTTGTGTCTGTGCTCAGCGGGTATCGGGCTATGACGCAACACTGCAATCAGCGCTGCAATTAAAAGAGCACTGCATGGATTATTTTGACTAACTTCCTTTGCGTTTACTTGGTTGAGCCCGTGGTTTCATTTCTGTGTTCTGTCATGATTGGCCTCTGGAAATAATCAGAGTGGATGTCATTTTGCCATGTGTGCCTTGTGCGACAGGTTCAAGGCTAGATGCACTTCACATTCGGCGTGCGATCTCAGCGTCTGGGACCTGATGAAGTCTTGGTTGGATAATTATTCAAGCCTGATACTACTCGACACACCAATGTACATGTCAATGTAATTTTTTCAGAGCTGCACTATTTACGTGTTGATGCTTACTTCGGTGTTAGCGTGTTTCCCCCGGATTGTTTCTATCATCATGATCGTGTGTTCTTGGGCTGAGCGAGC